AAAAAAATCGACCAACATTATCAACTACTTTGAGTCGAGAGAAATCAAATAACAACTAATAGATTAGTGCTACTACCTATTTCTATCTAATTAAAAAGTCTTCATCATGTTAATTTAGTCTAGTTAGACAGTCTTCTTCATTTTAGTTCAATGCTATCCTAAATCCAGATGATGAGCAAAAATTGCTCATGAGGAGATTCTGGATGAAAATTCCGTAGCAATTGCATTGCCACAAGTCTTCCTCAAAGAGAGAGTCGAAGAAGATATAACGATAACCCCCTTTTGTCTAACAAAAAATAAATTAGCAGCACTTCACTCTTGTATTTTCCTTATCGACCTTTCAAATCACATTCATGTTGTAGCTCGTAATGCTGCTAATTAATTTTTTCATCTGTTGTATTTAGAATTTCATATTCGAATAAACCTCGTAATCATAAGAAAGTGAGTTTTTTAGTTATGGACCTAGCAAAAGAAAAATTGGGATAGGATCCTATAGGATCTCCCCCCTTCAAAATCGGATCTGAAAGTTTCCTTTCATCCGGCTCAAGTAGGTATGCCAAATAAATAAAGGAGTTCTTGCTTGCAAATTCTAGAAAACCCCAAAACAAAAAGATATACTCCTTACTCGAGTTCCCAATGAAGACCAAGCAAGATTTCATTGATTCCGCCTTCTTTTTACGACATAAATGAAATGTGAAATTCTTGAGTAGTCTACTTCCTTTCGAATGATGAATCCCTTAATTCTTAATTTAAGAATTAAAGTGAAAGTAAAGGAGTACCTTGGAATTCATAAGTGATTTACTTGTCTATGTATTGTTCCATTCAATCTTTTAGGTCCCGACTTCACCTCGACGGTTATACTACGATGCCCTTAAAGTATATACGCGATGGATAGACTCCTGTAACCATAACATATTTGCGCTTACCTGAACATAATTTCTTTCCAAAAGAAAGGTTAATTCCACAAAACAAAAAAAGTCTTCTTTGGTTTTTTGAGTAAATATTGATGCCTATAGAACACGATTTCATGATATTTTATTTAGTGTCACGGTTATTAATTATTGGGGTATTAATTCAAAGAAGTTAGATGGTCGATATATTGTCTCGAGTAATTATTTTTATTATGATGTAATAATAAAATACAAAAATATGAAACTTTCCAAGTTAGACACCTTAGTTCTTAGTTCTCGACCTATGGTATGTATTCTTGACAGGTTTTGAGTATATAAAATTTTATATTTATCTTTTTACTAATACTTAATTGATAATAAATAAATAAATAACTATAATTTGAAGAAATATTCAAAGTTGAAGATACCCTTATTCAAAGTACACAAATTTAGATTTATAATTTTCCGTTTGTTACAAGTGTCTAGAATCTACGCACACTCTATTATGATTACTTGTACTCAACAAAGTCGAATAAGTACGTATTATACAAGTAATTGAAAATTGACAAGTGTTAATTTTATAAACATGTCATTACTATCAAAATCCATATATTAACTTTTTAATTTTCTCCATCATCATTTCTTTAGCCAAAAGTGGATCACTTCTAAATTACAGTTGCAATCCCCAATTTTTTTAAAGTATAGCACTTCGATACCGATGAAGTCATTTAAGTCCCCAAACCGGACCTTGAAGATATGAGTTGCCAACCACTCATGACCACGCGACCCAACGAACCCATGTCTTTAGACTCATCTAGTCCGAGGTCTATATCCTTAGACCCTCCGCCATTCAACTGGCTGCCCTTGAGCGGTATTGGGCATCACAACTTTGGTATAGGCTCGAGGTCGAACGTCGTTACCATGCAAGAAGTCGTATCTCAGCTTTCCTTATGGAGTCTTACTCCATTACGCCTTTGTGTCTTAACAATTAAAGTTCTAAAACCATCAGAGGACTATGGGAACACCTCCCGTAGCCTTTTTATAGGTAGTTTGAAAGTTTTGATTGTGCTCATCTCTCGTGCATTTACAGTTTGAGATCTAGTATCTTCAAGTACATCTTTGGTAATATCACATATCATTTAATTTTTAGACATATAAATCTGTATTTAGAATTTGGCACATAAATCCCCTCATTTCACTCTATTAGAAATGCACGTACATTGGACATGATTTTTTTTTTAGTAATACTATTTATCGTCGTGATAATAGAACATCGATTATGTGGTAATCCATTATCCCTCACGTTTCTATTTTTCTCTCATAAAAATTGAGATGTTCAATCTCATTATTCCACATGGATTATCATATCACCGATATTCCATTATTATAATGATAAATAACATTTTTTTTTTTTAATTCGGTGTTTTGATATTTTGTTATTATGTCTCTAGAAACTAAAAGAGTAAAGAGAAAATAAAGCAGGAAAAGGGAAAGGAATAAAAGAAAGAAAGAAAGACAACCCTCCACTTAATCCTAGGAATAATGATATCCAGTATAGTGGTTTTAAACATCGAGCTATGTAGTACTAATGCCCACTGCATTCACTTAGACCTACCATCTATTGTCGTTACCTCTATATTCAACTCTAGGGGATCAAAATATGGGGGATCACTTGCAGGTGTAGGTCGAAATGGGGGAGTTTGGTTGTGGTGGAGTGAACGTGGTAGAAATAATTAACATATTCGACTTAATTGAGACTTGCGTGTTTATTTACAAAGTTTGGGGATGTATGTGCTCAAAAAATAACTTTCCCTATTCTAATTCAATATTTTGACTTCCCGAAATATCCAATTGTCCTTTTCTTCTAGTAGCACCGAAATAAAATGAAAGACGTAAATATCCAATAATATATGTTCCCTCTGAAACTTCTAATACAAAAATTTACGAGGGAAGAGTGGCCAATCCAACAATGCACAGTGGATAATGAAAGATGGTTACGTGCCAGCTTTTTTATGCCAATTTCTTGAATCTCTCTTTAAAAACCTTTATCACAAAATTCTCTTATAATTCTCCCTCAAATAAACCACAAGAAGAATAAAATTGATGGCAAAGATCACTGGGAATCCTGCCATAACCTGTATCCACAAAATTCTCTTATAATTCTCCCTCAAATAATACAACAAGGAGAATAAAATTGATGGCAAAGATCACTGGGAATCTTGCTATGAAATGTTTACAAATTTTAGTTCTGTATGTATATGTAACATCGGTTGTTGTTGCAGCTAGAGTGCTGCCTGTTCACCCCTATTTGCAGAGCAATGAGAAGTCCATCAGCAATATTTTTGATACTTCAAAGTATGGCATTTTGCAGATTAAGAATGGGTTGGCCGATACACCTCAGATGGGGTAATTTTGATTTTCCTTCTCTGTTTTTTTTTTATCTTGTTTTAGATTTAGTGCTTGTTTTCATGTTGCGTTGAATTGTGGGCTTTTTGTGTCTGAAGTATAATAGATCAAAGTTCAAGATTTGTTTAATTGAACTAAATATTTGGTGTTTTATATTTGCTAGTGCAATGTGATTAAGAGTTGGGTTTTGCTTATGCGTTTGATTTTGATTTCCGAGGAATCTCACTTTGATTGCTTGGTTTTTATTTTCTATTTGGGTCTATTAGAAAAGAACATATCTTTTTGATTAATGTCTTCAAATTAGAGTCAAGATTTAAATATTCACAGGTGCAGTTGATTTTTATATTTTTAATCGATTGATCTGCAATTAATTTTGTGAAATTTTTGTGTATTTTGTGAATTTGAATTATTGGGTGGTTGTATTTTGGGCCAGATGGAATAGCTGGAATTTCTTTGCTTGCAATATCAATGAAACAGTAATCAAGGAAACAGGTAATCCTTCGAAATTGCTATGCTTGATCTGCATCGTAAATGTATAGGTTTTCAGTTTTCTACAATGTTTATATATATATTAATGGTTATCAAATTTAATATACAATTATAACTTTTTAATCTGGAGAATTTGGGGTTTAATGATGATTATCATACCGTGACTAGTAATTGCAGTCATGTATAATTGTTTGTAAGGTACTGAAGAATTGGATCAAGCGATTCATTATAACCTTTTCGTGTGGCAAACATGGTTTGACATTTGAATCTAATATGACTATGGATCAACTTGAGAGCATTATTATGCGCTTCCATAATCTAATTAATTTCACCTTGAACCGATGGATCGTAAGAACATGGCATGATTATTGGTGGAGTCGTTTTGATGCCAAAAACCCCAATTTTGCCAATCATTTGGAGGATCTTTTATTAGTATTTTCTTCTTTCTAATAACAAATCTAATCAGTGGTTTCTTATTTGAATCAATTTGTGAGGCAAGGGTAATGTAACTTGCCGTGGGAGAAATTTGGTAAGGTATATATTGGGTGACCCAAAATTGGGTCTTCAGCTATTTCCTTGACATTTGATTTTTGGTACGGTGAAGTTTCAAAAGACCATTGTTTCAGAGCTTTGGACATAACTGGGACATATTTTTCCATGAAAATGTGGATAAGGTAATATTTTGTGTACAAGGTTAGTGAAACATCAGGTTACGTGTATTTGTTCAGCTTTTCCCCTTTGGTTGGCTCCTCGTAGAAGCTGATCAGCTATCAATTTTATCTTCTTTATTCCTTTTAAATGTTTCGCAACATGTCCAGGCAGATATATGCACTGATTTTTTGCTTGTGTTATCATTTGGTGCCTCCATAACACATTAATGGCTATAGTTGCTGGCAGAATGCTTCAGACACACTTGGTTTTTCAGTTCACTTTGGAATCACAAATATGCACTTCAAGGGAGTTTTGTTTGCACCTTTAATTATAGTTTCAGTGTAAATGTCCTATTATTTTGGGCTATTTTCTAGAAATGGTCCGCTCTTTGGTTTTTTTGGGTACAAATTGATTCGTCTGATCCTATGCTCATCCAGGAATAACTAAGTTTTCCTTTTTGCCCTTTGACAGCTGATGCACTTATTTCAACTGGGTTGGCCAAGTTAGGCTATATCTATGTGAATATAGGTAATCATCTGGCATCTTCCATGAATGGTTTCACCGTATAACTTGACATGTCCTTATCTATGATACTTCATAAATGCAGATGATTGCTGGTCTGAGACGGAACGGGATTCAAAGGTAAATTTTCAGGCTGTACAAATTTCACATTATTGTTATGCCTTTTATACATTGATATATATTGTTACTGTAAATATGAGACGTCTTATTTTTCTAATTTTTGAAAGAGGGTGTTTTATTTTGTACATCATTTCTTTGATTTCTCCTTCAATATTTGAGCAACTTTGCTGAAAGGACTATGAGTATCTTCCTGATGATCAAAATGAAATAAGTACCAAAGAATTTATGTAAAAAGTATTTATGCTAGGTGCTAACTTTTAAATTGTTTGGTTTTAAAGGGCCAATTGGTTCATGATCCAAAAACTTTTCCATCAGGAATCAAAGCTCTTTCCAACTATGTACATTCTAAGGGCCTCAAGCTTGGCATATACTCAGATGCAGGGTATGAGGAGTTTCATAATATTTGAACAGAATAGGCTAGGCAATAGCAATAACTGTGTTATTCTGATTAACTGTAGTGCAATTCTGTTAAACATCCTTTTTTATCCCTGCTGATTCAAATGATTGAAAATTGACAGGGCTTTCACTTGTCAAGTTCGAGCTGGTTCACTTTTTCATGAATATGATGATGCAGCACTATTTGCATCTTGGGTTAGTTTACGTTTCTTCTATCACTAACTTCTGCTGTCTCTAGTTTATGGGTCATGCGAGTATTTATTTTCAATTTCATCATTCCACCCTTCATTTAGGGGTAGGGTAGCCTAGGATTTAGTTTTCTTGAGATTAAGTTTATATCTAATCTCAGCAGTCCAAAACAATTCTGTGTGATTTGTTTTCTTTCAAATTAAAGAGCTTAATGGAAAACGTTCAAGATTTAGCAGGCATCAAGTCTGATAAATACCTTTAAACTTTGGATTTTGGAATACCTAGACACAAGTATGTAATTGTACAAAGGTTTCATATGATTGTCTATCCACGTACCCTTTCTTTTGTTATTAAGTCCCTATCTTTTTACTACGTCGTTGAAATCCCATGTATTCTGTGCTATCTAGGGTGTCGATTACTTGAAGTATGACAACTGTTTCAATCTGGGCATTAAACCAGAGAAAAGGTTCGTGCCTAGTTTATTTCATGGCTTGGTATCTATAACTTGGTCTAAATATGGCTTCACAATTCTCAGATACCCACCCATGCGTGATGCTCTAAATGCAAGTGGACGTGCAATATTTTATTCAATATGTGAATGGTATCTTTTATTAAGCACAGGACTTATCTTTAATTCTTTTTTCGCTTTCCTTTTATCTTTTCATACAGTGGATTTACTTGCATGGTAAGAGCTCACTTTGGCTTTCTTCTGAATCTAACAGGGGTGAAGATGACCCTGCTTCATGGGCTGGCAAGGTGGGAAATAGTTGGCGAACAACGGAAGACATTAATGATACATGGGCAAGGTTCTGAACTCTTGAACCTAAGCTCTTAGTGTAATTGGAAAAGGAAATTCTTCGGTGTTTGTGAAGGTGTATAAAATGAAGTGATTCCGTCAATTTTAACATAGAAGAATTTCTTTACCCGTAAAACTAGTCAAAGGAACATTATATACAAGAGCATCTTACATATTTCATTTTTTGGTAAAGGACGCTATAACTGGTGTACCCTTATCCATTTCAGAGCCAACTTTCACTTATTATGAGGATCACGAGGTCCAAAATTTGTAAGACATAACAATGTGTTCTAGGTAGAAGCAATGCTTGTAAAATTTGAACCCATTCATGATGCTGATCAAGTTCTCATGTTTCAATTGATATCTTCCCCTTTGGAGAAACTCAAACAGAACCTGAAGTAAACACTGCAGCTAAAAATGAATAAACAAATCCTACTGGAGAAAGAATTTTGGACGCTTTTGTTTCTTCATATAATCTTTCCTAGTTATTGTTAAGTTTTAACCAAGAAATTTACTGAATTGATATGACTTCTATCGTGTTCTTGTTTAGCATGACTGCAATTGCGGACATCAATGACAAGTGGGCACCCTATGCAGGACCTGGTGGATGGAATGGTAGGAACAAGATCGTTGTCTACTCCTACAGGTTGACTCAAGGTTCAGCTCTGAATTCCATGTATGTAATTCTGATTTACTGTTTCATTACGCTGTTTTTGCAGATCCTGATATGTTGGAAGTTGGAAATGGGGGTATGACTTACACGGAGTACAGAGCACATTTTAGCATTTGGGCTCTAATGAAGGTGCTTTAGATCATGACTACAAATTTTCAGTTGCATATTGTTTTAAGACCTAAGTGATACCACTATATCATTTCACAAGTATGGCATGGGAACGGTTAATTTTTTTTTGGGTTAATCTCGTGCCTGCTAAATATCTGTTTCTTTTAGATGTATTTCTCCTGTTATGTCGGCTGGTCTGCTCACTTCTCATATACAGTTTAAAAAGTCCAATCATTTTTCAAGACTTAATTTGTGAATCCACCTTTGCGTTGAATGACATGGACTAGGAGTTTGTTTCCTTGACTTTTCAGGCCCCACTTTTGGTTGGTTGTGATGTAAGAAATATGACTGCAGAGACATTTGAAATTCTAAGCAACGAGGAGGTTATTGCTGTAAACCAGGGTAAATCACTAAATTTCATGCTCTCTTTTTCTCTCTTGTTTGTGGATGGAGGTAAAGAATTTAACAAAGTGGGGGAAAAAATTCAAGAAGTGGACCAATTTTGAAGTCTTTATTGAGGCTTTGACTCTTGTGTCTCTATTTACTTTGTTGGAAATACTATGTTATTCTGCTTCCTTTTCTTTTATATCAGAGCAACTGAAATTTTATTTTGCTTGCAGATAGACTTGGAGTTCAAGGAAGGAAAGTTCATGTTTATGGGCATGATAATTGCTATCAGGTAATTTGCCTCTTTCACCTTTTTGAACTTTTTCTTCCTCTCTTTTGGCTTCACATCTTTAATGATGCTGATTTATTGAATGTTCTGTTCATCTGTAATAAACTCTAGCATAAAAATTCCTCATTAAGGGAATAAAATTTTTATTTAGGGCCTGTTTTATCCCCATTTTTTGTATAAAATGCATTCTGGAATAGTAGATTGGCGGAGAATAAGTGGTCAAAAAATAAGGAAATGTTTTGAATTTTCGTGTAATATTATTTTATTGAAGAATGTGGTTAAAAAGAAGACAGAAAAAAATGTGTTTTGGAAAAAAAATGGGGATCAAACAAGGGCTTAGCTTTTACAGAAAGAATTTTATACTCTTCAAGGGATTCCTTGTACTTCTTTGTGTATGTATGTGATAATTGTGTTCATTCGAACCAAACTCTTGTAGGACCAAAGCCTTCTTTTATTTGATCAGTATATTTATTTTTCATTTCTTGGATTTTTCTTTGTTTTCTTCTGGTATTTTCGTCTAGAATTATCCAATGCAATGGTGGAATAATTCTTGCTGTTTTAATGAAAATCAATAACTAACTTGGGATTACGTCATTTCTCACCTTATCTGATTAAAGCTAATATAATAACGTAGACATGCATTTAGGTTAATTGGTTAGGAACTTAGGATGTTTCCATTGACTCTGATTCTGATAAATAAATGACAATTCATTCTAAATGTAGGTTTGGGCTGGTCCGCTGTCTGGAAATCGTTTGACTGTTGCTTTATGGAATCGGTGTTCAAAACCAAGCACTATTACTGCTAAATGGGATGCACTCGGACTTGATTCTTCTACTAGTGTCTCTGTAAGAGATTTGTGGAAGGTTGGTAACACTTCTCTGGGTAGTACATAGTTTCACCATATAACTAGTCTGTGATCAGTCAATACTTGTTTATGGTATCATGCTCACACACCATAAGAGTTGCTTTTGTTTTTGAATCTCATCTAGGCCTTTGTTCTTTAAGTATATTCTTCGCTGCTTTCATGCAACTTGAACCATTCTGAATCTACTGATATGAAAATGGAAATCAAGTATATGAATTATTATAACACTCTGGTAATCCCATTGGCTTTGACAATTGCTAGCTTCTAATTTATTTTTATTTTTATCGTTCTACAGTTGATATGTGAAATCATGAAACTTACCTTAATTTCACATTGATGTGAGTCGAGTCAATTTCAGAGGACCTATAACGATTTTTCAATCTTTATTTTCCTTATTGGTTGCAGCACGAGTTTGTTTTACCCAACAGTGTGGGCTCGTTTAGTGCTCATGTTGATTCGCACAGCTGTGAAATGTACATTTTTACTCCTCAGACAGCGACGGCAAGTGAATAATTTTATCATAGCTTGGAACAACTGTTTTGGCTGTCGACACCCACATTGAGAACGAAAAGCACGGTTAGTATGTTGGGCATTCAGGTCTCCCCATTTTATGTTGCTGTGTCCTCCATTGTTGCTGTATTTTAAGTTTTATTGAAGCTCAGCATTGATTATTGTCAATGTATAAATAATTTAAATACCTGGTTGGCATGCGGAACTGCAAATATTATCAGAACGGGATGGACATGTTTCTCTTTGGTATGTGGAGCTTAAGTTTCTTTTTATATTGAAGTCCTTTCAGGTTTGAGGACTTTACGCATACTCAATTCAAACCAGAAAGAGGCTTTGGACCGTTTGACAGAACTTTTAAAATGTCAAAAATTGATTCAGAAATTAGAAAGTTATTTTAAAACGTGTTTGTTTTGTTTGACCTGGGATAAATTCCTCGAGAAGCCCTTCTAGTTCCAGCTCTGCCACAATGAACGGGCCATGCCCATCTTGCTTGTATGTGATGCACGAGAACCAACTTGGCTTGCTAAAACATAAAATAAAATTAATAAACCTCTCATTTCTTTTCTACATTTCACTTGCAACCTTGATTATAATATTTATCTATAAACATTTCAGAAGTACTATGTAATTCTGCGAATACATCAATAAGAGTATTTATTTGTGATTTATATCATAACTTCATTATAAATTGTAACAATTTTTTTAACAAAATTGAACACGGCAGATCGGGTTGGACCAGGCCAGCATGCAGACTCCGCAACGCGACTTCTGAATCGAGTCTAGATATCAACTAAACTTTTAGTTGGTTGAAATCGGTACATTGTGCGTGCGCACAGGTTGATGTGGTCAACTAAATGCCTTTGTAAATTTGTTTCATGCTCCATTCTTCGTAGGAGACTAGACAAGTTTCTAATCAACAATAGCAGAAAGCAATAGACGCTGGTAATTTAGAGCTCAACAAACATGGTAACGAACACAACATTTTATACAAGTTTTCGTGCATCATTGTATTAACAAGCAGCTAACAAAAAGGGCAGGGCCTTCTTGCTTATTCTTATCCTTCTGGACACTGATATAAGAGCAGTATTCCAGTATTAGTAAGTTTCACACATCAAGATTCAGGGCACTCTTTATCATACACATCGCTTGCATATTTCCAGTTCATGACTTTCCATATATTCTTCAGATAATCCGGTCTCACATTTTTGTACTGCACACAAACAAGAAAAATGCAATCAATCGTGCCGAAACAAACTCAGTCAAAAACGTAACATTAGCACCATTGCCTAGCCCTTGAAATTTTCCTCGTCCAAAATAAGTGGAATTTGATAAGCATTCAGTGAAAGAAAAGCAAGAATTACCTGCAAATAGTATGCATGCTCCCAGACATCAATACCAAGCAGAGGGATCAAACTTGGTCCTTTAGTTACAAGAGGATCCTGCAAGTAGTGATTGACAGAAAAAATACATAACTTCGTTGTCGAAGACCATATTTTCGCGGTACCACCACATTCTCTTTCTGTTTAATTGAGAAGGTTAATTCTTATTGAAGAGTGTCAACAACAGAATGTGCAAATTCAAGAATATCGTCACCAAGATGCGTGACTACCACATCGAAATAAGACTGCAGACTTGACTGATAAGACTTGCCTACTCTCGAATGTAGTTGTCGGATGAGGCAATTCTAAAATTCAATACAATTTCCCCACTTGACTTCTCTTTTTGTTTAAGGGATAAATCCCACATTAAATAAAGATGAAATAAATAACCAACATATAATGATCTACTCTAAACAAGGTTGACCGTTTACGATGGTATTTTAAATCTAAATATCGTATCAAAGTCCATTAAACTCAAACGAGTAATTCGATCAACTAAGACTCAAAAAAGCACATAAATTCCAAGATTGTTCTCAAACGAGCCACCATCTTTTGAGAGTATATTAAGGGATATATATTGAACAAAGATAAAATAAATAACACATAAGGGTTTGGGCCACTCCATTTGACAAAGTTGGCTTTTTAAGATAAAACTCTTAAGTCTTAACACGTTCGACAACCCTGCTCGCAACGCCAAAATTTTTAAGAATAGATAGATGCAAGGACATTAAGTCATTTCTCAGCAAGTATAATATCTTTTCTTGTATAATATACACGTGCAGTCCCCAACCTTTGATACGGTCTTAATTTCTTCCCCAACCATTTTTTTGGAAACGGTCCAATCAAGCATTGAATTTGAGAAAAGGACAATTTTGCCCTCAGCTTTAATCAAGTATCATAAATAAAATAAAATTATCACCACTTTCATCCAAAATCCTGCAAGTCATACTATCAGGATCCAAGCCTTTGCTGGAAGCCTACAACCTCAACTTATTCGCTTCTGCAATCTTCTGGAATCACACATTTGTGCAGCAGAATATTAAAAATCGAACTTTCTGTAGCAGCAGCTAGAATGTGTTGGGGTTGGGGACTGTTACAGGGTGGGAGCCACCAGGCAGACAAGAGGCAGGTATGGTTGGGGATATTATGGAGTGGGGTTGGGAGGTGAAAGAGGGTGATTTTTTTTTTCATATTTACTTTTGTTACTTATTTGAACTTGAAGGCAAAAATAAATTCTTTTCAATAAATTTAACACCCAATTTGGGTGGTTGTCATAGGCACTCCATCTAAAATCAAAGATTAAGGAGTTAAATGCCAATAAAGGAGAAGAAAGTGTGACCTGGTCCAAAGTTTGGGACCGTGCATGCAAATTACCTAGATTTTTCTATTTTTTATTTTTTATCTTCACTTAAAAGTCACAACTACTGCACTTTCAACAACTGGCATTCACTTAGAAATTCATTAATCCAGCATACAGCGAAATGTTAACCCCGTATCATCTGTTCACAATTCTCCCATACCCCGGAAGGCAGATATACTAGAGAGGATAAAGTTTAGCTTCCATATTATCCTAAATTAGCACTACCCTTGTCTGATTTTCCCAGTAAATACATATGCAAGCTATGAAGGAAATAAAGCAAAATCAACATTAAGCACTGAAAATCAATATCATAATATCTCAAATATCAATTGCTTTTGACAACAAAATCTTGCAACAATTACCTGATTTTCAGTGCTTTCAACTACCAGGTGCTTCAACTCTTTGTCCGCACCAAGCCACTGTACGTTCAAACAACGTAAACTAAGTTTTACCGCAAACCAAAACTAGGGGAAAAAAGAGGGGGAGAGAAAATTATCTTCGGATGCATCGTTTATGGATATCGATTGCCAGCAAAATATGATTTACCACCTAACCAAAGAACTTACCACCCAACCAAAGAACTTACCACCCATCCGGAGCCCTGTAAAGCAGCACCTTCTGCATTCATCTCCTGTATTAAAGCTTCCAAGGAACCAAAGTTATTGTCAATAGCCCAACCTAAAGAACCCTTGGGAGGTTCACCACCACCTTCCTGCAAGGAAATTTTAGATTTTTAGAGATTTATCCCAAATTACAGAAAATAGGGAGATAATGAGCAAGAGGTTCAAAAATCTAGAAGGTAAACTTACACGAACAGGGGCAAGATTCTTCCAGAAAATTGAGTGATTCACATGACCTGCTTAAGAATGTGATTAGAGTTGTATCCCAGATGATGTACAGAATGATGGTCAGTTGATTACGTATGCATGAAAAGTTACATAATTAGTAGAGGACCTACATTCTCCACGAAGACATGAAAAAGGCAGAAAAATTCACTGGTGCATCTTGCAAACTATGTAGCAACTTCAGAGTTTTTTGATATTGGAATTGGGATTCAAATATAACCAAAGTCGCATATAGTACGCCATTCACAGTGGCAACCCTCTAGTTTGTGCGTAGGGGCCTAAAAAGTCTTGCCTATATCATTGACGATGCAATTTACTTCCACTTCAATGTAGAGTACAAGTCACTTGAATTAGAAATTTATTGTACTAAGGAAATAACTTTTCATTGCAAATCAAGTGATATCTCAGTTCATTGAGATCGTTTGGTTGCTTAGACCAAAATATCCTTAATGTATGTTAAATTTGAAAATTTCTTGGTCATTAGTTCACGTTGCAATCAAACACACTCCATTAAGTTATATTTTTCCAAAAATATGGATTCTTATTGAGCTCAGTTATTTCGCTACAACGTGTTGATATTGTCACCGGGGGCCTTGCCAACATAGTTCAATATGCAAAAAGGTTCAACATTTTGTTACCTTTTGTCTATTGATCAGGTAGTACAATAGTTCAGCATTTCCTAATGTTTTCCGATTAACTTTCACCGCTGCCTTCCAAAGAATTTAAAATATAAATGTTCTGCATGCTGATTAGACTCCCTACACCTTAACCTGTTTAACTATTGTAGCTCACATTCGTAATTTGACTTTACAATAAACTCATATTTAATGAGAATCCAGGTCTCTGTGAAATCCAGAGATCAGCAAAACAATCCACATACGGATATCTGATAATAGACCCCCATCTGTCTCAATGTTTTTGTACCTCCCACAGGCCACAAAAGAGCTCTATCAATTTCTTCAAAAGCATTGTAACTAATAGGGTTAAAATCTGGAAAATATATGTTGGCAATTTCAAACTGGTGATACAGAATTTAGTAAATTAATGAAGAAAAGAAATTTCAACGTCAGTCTCTACATGTTAAGATAAAGTCAATTTCTTAATGATTAAGGAATAAGTCATTTCTTTTCCATTAAGAAAACATGCAAGAAGAAGGCAAAATGGATTTCTCTTCTTGCCAACTAATGACCAGCTATAATGCCAACCATTTTCTAGCAAATTCCAGCAGCCTTTGTTGACAATTTGGCATGAATTAAGGCGGCAATTTTCCTTATAAATAGAGGCTGGAATAGAGCAAACGAATCATCAAAGTTTGGAGCAAATAGAGAGGAAGTGTAGAGAGAAAA